CTGCTGCTGCTGCTGCTGCCGCTGCTGCTCCCCTCACTGTCTCTTCTATCAAACTCTGTTGTTATGCGAAGCCTTCCTGAGGAGTTTAATATAATTTAATTTAATTAAAATACTTTTAATTATTTATTTACTATATAAAAAACTCAGGACAAGGGGATACACCGTCTATAGGCGGCGAGGGGGCCGCTGCTGCTGGCGGCGCTGCAGCAGCAGCTACTGCTGCTGCAGCAGCAGCAGCTGCTGCTGCATGTGCTGTGTGGTGTACGTACGTATAGCTGGAGCTGCAGCAGCAACAGCAGTATATTCTTCTTGATAATTTTCTTCTTTGCTCTTCTGCTAATTAACTCTTATTAGATGTGTGTAGTATATTGTATTGATCGTAGCGGGGTCTCCAACTAGTATAGCAGCTTTGCTGCCTTTGCTGCAGCATCATCACCAGTCTACTGCAGCAGGTGCTGCTACTGCTGCTGCTGCTGCTGCTGTTGCTGCTGCTGCTGCTGCAGTCGCTGAAACTGTTTTCTGCTCTTTAGTATGGGAGGCACTACGCGCCCTGGGGAGTCCCAGGGTTCTGTTGCAGCAGCCGACGCTGCTGCTGCTGCTGCTGCTGCTGCTGCTGCAGCAGCAGCAGCTGCAGCAGGAAATGGAGGTGGGGTATGTCTAGAGGAATCTTTAAAGGAGGCGTCTCTGCTGCTGCAGGAAGCTGAGACAACACTAGAGAGCGACAGGGAGAAGGCTATTGCTTTATGCAGGCGTGCGTTGTCTACAGCAGCAGCAACAGCAGCAGCAGCAACAGCAGCAGCAGCAACAGGGTCAGGAGTATCCTCAGAAAGCGGTTCTTCGAGCGTAGGGAAGGACAAGAGCCCAATAATCAGCATCACGAGCACCGGCAGCAGCAGCAGCAGCAGCAGCAGCAGTATCTTAGCTTATAATGAAGAGGCGCTGCGTGTGTATGAAGAAGCAGCTGGATGGTTAGCTGGGGTGTATGCTGAGTGTAGTGATTGTGAAAGCTTATGCGATCTTTTATCAGATTGTCTGAAAGTATTTGAGAAGCATCCACGGTCTCGAGCAGCAAAAGTTGTTCGGGGCTTTATTGCATGCGTTGCTGCTGTCCGAGTGTCTCCTGCTGCTGTTGTTGCTGTCTGCGAACCGGCTATAGCTTGGTGTAAGCGTGAAGGTCGTCATTTCTTAGAGACGCGTCTAAATTTGTCTCTAGCGAAGGCTAGGCTATCGCAAGGGGCTCTATCAGAAGCGCAGCAGCAGCTGCAGCAGCTGCTGCGCGACTGCAGGCGTATAGAGGAGAAGCAGCTGCTAGTAGAAGTTTATCTGCTTGAGTCTCAGCTACAATATCAATTAAAGAATACACCTAAAAGTAGAGCAGCGCTCACTGCAGCAAAGACAACAGCAAACGCTATCCACTGCCCTCCAACTGTACAGGGACAGCTCGATCTTCAAGTATGCTTCTGCTGCTGCTGCTGCTGCTGTTGCTGCTGAAGCTCTTGCTGCTGTTGCTGCTGCTGGTGAAGCTGTTGTTACTGTTGCTGCTGAAGCTGTTGTTGCTGCTGCCGGAGCTGTTGCTGCTGCTGCTTCCGATGCTGTTGTTGCTGTTGCTGCTGAAGCTGTTGTTGCTGTTGCTTTCGCTGCTGCTGCTGCTGAGTATGAAGTAGGATTTTGTGTTATTTTGTTGTGGCCCCACGTAGACAGCTGAAGGAGCAGCAGCATCAGCAGCAGCAGCAGCACTCTGTCTCTTGCTTGTCTTTCTTTTAAGTGTTTGCTGTCTCTTCCGCTTTATTTCTTTATTTTTATTTTAAACATCTTCACACGCCCTCCCCAACTGCTGCCTGCACCTTCAGGGTTTAGGGTTTAGGGTTTAGGGTTTGTTGTTCAGGCTGGGGTGTTGCATGCACACGACAAGGATTACCGTACAGCTTTCTCATATTTCTTTGAAGCCTTCGAAGCCTTCAGCACTCAGGAGGCGACGCAGGAGACGCAAAGGAGACACGATAAAGCTGCTGCTGCTGCTGCGGCAGCAGCAGCAGCAGCAGGAGCAGCAGCAGCTGCAGCAGCAGCAGTTGCTGGCGCCAATAGACGCTTCCGTGGCTGTAAGCAAACAAGATACATGCATGCGCTGCTGCTGCTCCTCCTTCTCTTCCTGCTGCTGCTGCTGCTCCGCTTCCTGCTGCTGCTTCTACTGCTGCTGCTGCTGCTGCTGCTGCTGCTGAAGTGAAGAAGATAACAACCGTCTCTTTTTGTTTGTCTCCTTCCCTTCTGTATATCTGTTTTTCTGTCTTTGTTTGTCCTTATGCATGCGCTTAGCCTTTCTTTTTATATATGTTGTTGTTAATCTATCTCTTTTTCTATTTGTCTCTATATTATGTATTGTCTATATATATATATATATATTGTATATATATTATATATTGTCTATATATATATATTGTATATATATTATATATTGTCTATATATATATATATATATTGTATATATATTATATATTGTCTATATACTCTACTTGCCCTCTATTTGTTTATTTGCCTGAGTGCTTCTCCATATATTTGCAAATATATAAATATACATATACATATATATATATATATATATATTTATATATATATATATATATATTTATTCACATTTGACTATGTATATATAGTATATATATATATATACTATATATGTTTGTGTATACATACAACTACATATAGATACATATATATATATATATATATGTATGTATGTATGTATATAGATGTGTATATATGTATATTTTCATCTATATATATTAGCGTTAATGCATATATTATAAAAACACCCTATAAATGGATATATATATATATATATGTATATATATAGCATATCTAATTTAATTTATATATATATATATATATATTTGTATCTGTCTGTTTGTATGCAGGTGAAGAAAGAGAATTAGCAATGCGTGCGTTGACTTACATGCTGCTAACGAAGATATTGATGGGGCGTCCAGAGGAGGTCCCCCCTTTGTTAGCGACTCGCCAAAGTTTGCGTTACTATGAGCAGCCTGTGGGGTGTGGGGTTGTGGGGGATCAGGGATCGTGTGGGGTGGACGATCCCTCGTTGGAAATAGACGATCCCATGATGGGAGAAGACGATCCCAGAGGAAAAGGAGACGATCCCAGAGGAAAAGGAGACGATCCCGCACGTGTGCGTTTAGAGGCTCTAAGATTGTTAGCAATAAGCCGTAGAGAGCGATCTCTAAAGATGTTTAGGGGTTTATTAAGAAGATATCGATGGGCATTAGTAAAAGATATGTTTGTTGATCAGCATCTAGATGAACTGTATAATGCATTAATAGAAGAAGATCTTAAGAAGACTCTGCAAGCTTACTCTAGAATAGAGTTGACGCATGTCTCGCGTTTGATGGCATTACCTGTTAAAGAGATAGAGGAGACACTCTGTAGAATGATGCTTGATGGTCGCTTAAAGGGGACGCTTGATCAAGGGTTAGGGGTCTTAGTGCTGTTTCATGAGCAGCAGACCCCACAACTCTACTCAGATGTGCTGTCTACTGTAGCTAATATGGCAGCTGTTGTGGATGCTCTCTATGAGAAGGCTCAGCACACTTTATAATTTATACTCATACACTTATATTATCATACTCAAACACCCGCCTGCCTTCTCCTCCTTGTGCACCTACAAACAGCTAGCTACCTCCTCCCATACAATATACCTCAACAATCAATGGAGGTATTACTACCTAGCTAGCTAGCTAGCTAGCTAGCTAGCTACCTGGGTGGCTAGCTGGGTGGCTTAATATGTAGCTAGTTGGGAAGCTGGCTAGGCAGCTAGCTAGCTAGCTAACTAGCTAGCGGGCTAGCTAGCTAGCCCGCCCGGTTCATTGTGCTGACTGCAGTCATTCTCGTTGAACGTGTAACCAGCTAGCTAAGGCGCTAACCGGCTAGCTAGCTAGACAGCTAGCTGTATCCGGGCAGCTGGATGGCTTAGGGGGGAAGCTATCCAGGCGGGGTGCAGCTTGCAAGCTACCAGCTAGCTAGCTAGCTAGCTAGCTAGCTGGCTAGCTTGTTTGTTTAGAGAGGGGGAGAAGGGTGAAAGGAGACGCTAAAGAAGAGAAAATATAAACAAAGGAAGTAGAGAGACAGCAGAAATTGAACAGAGAGACAGACAAAGATATAAATAGAGGTAGAGATGGAGGCAGAGAGACAAAGCAACAAAGAGACAGAGACAGAGACAGACAACATAACAGTAAGAAATAAACAAAGAGAAACAGAGACTGATATAAAGATAGAAGGAGACAGACAGAAACAGAGAGAGGAGGTAAACAACGCAACAAAGACAGCGAGAGGAAGAGATAAGGGGACGGGGCAACAGAAACAGAGACAAATATAAAAACAGAGACTAATTAAACGAGAGACAGAGACTAATTAAACGAGAGACAGAGACTAATTAAACAAGAGACAGACAAATTAAACAAAGAGAAAGGGAGAGACAACGCATCAGAATAAGGAGAGAGAGAGAGAGAGAGAGAGAGAGAGAGAGAGAGAGAGAAAGACAGAGAGAGAGAGACA